AAAAAAAAAAAAAAAAACTGAGCAGGGCTCACTATTTTGAAAGGTGGCAGGTGGAAGTGGGCTGTGTTTTTACTCAATAAATATTTCATGTTAAAAGGAAAAAAAAAAAAAAAAGGAGGGAGACAGTTCCAGAGCAGAATCAAGCTGTTTCTCCAGCTCTGCTCTGCCTGACTGGGAGCAGAGCTACAAATTTGGGTCTCCCTCAGTGTTCTTTGCTACAAGCCTGGTGAACTATTTTGAAAGGTGGCAGGTGGAAGTGGGCTGTGTTTTTACTCAATAAATATTTCATGTTAAAAGGAAAAAAAAAAAAAAAAGGAGGGAGACAGTTCCAGAGCAGAATCAAGCTGTTTCTCCAGCTCTGCTCTGCCTGACTGGGAGCAGAGCTACAAATTTGGGTCTCCCTCAGTGTTCTTTGCTACAAGCCTGGTGACCACCCCAGGTAAGGCTTTCCAAGTGCCTCCTTTTGGAGTTGTTGTCCTTCATATAAATATTTGGGACAGCTGAGGGAGAGGATGAAGAGGGCACGAGCACACATACGTGTCAGTATGTGTATGGGTCTCAAGTGGATCTCAACCACCTAGAAAGAAGGAACTAGGTAGGTGGTGCCTGTGGTTTGTTCATTGCTTTATGTCTGGTGAGACTTGTTTTGTCAGGCTACTCCTGTCAGGGTTTCACAGTGTGATTGAAGGCTCCAAGCATAGAAATGTCAGGATATAGCTGGTTTTTGTGTGTATCTGTCCTGGTTTCAGCTGGGAGAGTTAATTTTCTTTGTAGTAGCTGGTTTAACACTGTGTTTTTAATTTAGGATGGGGAGACTGTTGATAACACACCGATGTTTTAGTTGTTTCCAAGCAGTGCTCACACTAAGTCAAAGACTCTTCAGCTTCTCATACTGCCCTGCCAGCGAGGAGGCTGGGGTGTATGAGAGTTGGGAGGGGGATACAGCCAGGACAGCTGACCCAAGCTGGCCAAAGGGGTATTCTGTACTATATGGTGTCATGCTCAGCATATAAAGCTGGGGGAAGAAAAAAGAAAGGGGAGATGTTCAGAGTGATGTTGTTTTGTCTTCCCAAGTAGCCGTTACGTGTGGTGGAGCCCTGCTTTCCTGGAGATGGCTGAACACAGACCTGCTGATGGGAAGTAGTGAGTGAATTCCAGTTTTTGCTTTACCTGTGTAACTGTCTTTATCTCAACCCACAAGTTTTCTCACTTTTACCTTTCTGATTCTCTCCCCCATCCCACCAGGAGGGAGTGAGTGAGTGGCTGCATGGTGTTTGGCTGCTGGATGGATTAAAACCGTAACTCCAGTGCCAGACCTGCAGAGGCACCTGAACTGGTTTTGGTGGACTCAGTAGGACTTAAACACTCTACTGCTACCTCAGTTCCCCTGGGGATTTAGGACCAAGTATTTGCACAGCTGGAGGGTGGGTAAGAAGGGGGAAGAGCTCCCTGTGTCAGTGGCCACAAGGTCACATTCCTGCCTAAGTCTTCAGAGGTGGCTTTTCCTGGCAATGCTTCCCTCTACCAGCATCATGGAGCAAGATAAAAAACAATAAATGGTCTGCTGGGTCAGTGTTTAAAACTTGTCTATCCTAGTGCATCAAATCAACGCATAAATGGTGCTAAATGTGGGTGCCTACCACCCATTCCTAAAGTAAAAATCTTGCTTATGTCCCTCTTCCAAGATGAGTGGTGTATGCAGGTCACGATGGCTAGGTGGGTGTTGAATGTGTAGGGTATGGCCATCGTGATGGGGCTGTAGAGCACCTCCAGAGCCAGGTAATAAATGCTGCCACAGAGGGAAGGGGTCCAAAAATGCAGCATTGCAAGTGAATGTGCTCCAGGCTCCATAACTATCCCAACCCCATTTGGGAGCTGACACCCCTTTTACAGGCTGTTCCCAGAGGTCCCTTTCTCCTCCCATAGGTCCAGGGAGTGTCTCATGGCTCTTGGGGCACTGGAAGATGGTTTAGTTTAATGGTTCATTATGTTAAGCAGAATGTTTTTCCAACATTTGGCAATCTTTTATTTGTGGGTGGTGAACATTTGTCCTCGTTCCTTAGGGTGGCAACAGGTTGCTGTGCTTGGGGGGGTGAAGGACATCAGCTCTTCCACTTTGCTCTCAAATGACTGAAACTTGGGTTAGCAGGAGTCATTTCTGGTTTGAAGTGGCTGCTGGGAGGGAATGACTGCAAAACCTCTCAGAAAACTCCCTACCTAACATGCTTTCCATCAAACCAGCCTGCTTTTGAATTTCAGCCAGGGGTTTGCCCTGCACCATGTGTTTATAAGTGCCCCGCAGGCCACTGCAACTGGCTGCTTTGGGAGAAGCTGAAATACAAACTGAGGCCTCTTGGTGGAAGGTAAGTGTTGGGCAAGGCTGATTCCCATGTAACAACGGGGGCTGTACTGGGGCGGACCATGAATTAGACTTCCCGAGACAGGTCATAGGGTGTAGAGCTTAGAAAACAGTGGAAACCACTGTGAAGGCGACAGCAGAAATGCCCTTGCACCTGAGGAAGAGACAGTCTGGTCCCACTCTGATCTTGGGGAGCAAGTCAGGAAACCATCTTAATTAATAAACTGTAAAAACACCCATGAGAAAAGAAAATGCCTTTATTCTGAGAGATGGGGGCTCTTACATCTCAGCTTGTAATTTATTTTTTTCTAAGGCAGACATAAAAAGACTCCATAATTTATTCTTAGGACATCTGAATAGTTATTTATTGAGAAGCCACAGTTCTCACACTTTTACAACTGTCGGCTTGTATAAGGCAAAAAAAGCAAGATGGATCACTATTTTACACAGAAAGTAAAAGCTCTGGAGAGGGGGACTGATGGACATGCAGTTACTGGTCAAAATGCAATGTACATGACATATATAAAAATCATTGTGAAACAGAGGAATTGTAAATTATGGTTACAATCTACTGAAATAAATATTCAATATATTATTATAAACACATTTGTATAGTCTAAGATTGTAAATAAAGTTGTCTTTGTACATACACGGTTATTTGAAATTTAAATAAAAATGTAACATTTAGAGGAGCAAACGTCAACATAAAACAACTGCTTTGGACTTGTAATGTGGCATGATATATCCATAATGATAGGATTAATCTGGTGTGGCAATTAGAATGACTAATCCTTTGGGATGTAGCCTCTATGGAGTTAACTGCATATTGAAGGGAAGAGCCTGGTACATTAACAAGGATGCAGAGTGATTCAAACGGCTGTCTGGGTTTGTTTGTTTTCTGGTTTTTAAATGAACAGAGAGAACAAAAAAAAAAAAAATCAGTTGTAATTGCCTTGTTTTTCTTTTAAAAACAAAGCTGTTTTTTTATTAATTTTAAGCAGTTGGCATCCACAGAAGAGAAACAAAGAAATGAAAGGACTCGATTCACTCATCTTCACAACAATTTACCATCAATGTATATACAGTACATTAATGAAGCATTGTTTAAACTTTAATTATAACAGGGACACACCTAGCATATTTTCTATGTAGTTTTTTTCCATTAACAGTATTAAACAATGGTGCTCCATATTGCTTATGAACATATAGATATGAAATTAGGAAACCGATGAATCAAAGAGAGGTGCTAACCTTATTACCACACAGCTAACATGGCATTTGTATTGGTAAACTTCTCATGGGCATTTAGAGCTGACATAAAAATTCCTAATGTGGCTAACTGAGTTACAGACGAGGTACATGCACGGATACCAGGCGACCCCCAGCTGGTCCTCCAGGCCAGCTTCCCTAGTCATCCTCTTCATCTTCCTCATCGCTGTCCTTCATGGTGATCCCCTGGAGCCCTCCGCCTTCGCTGACCGACGCCGTGGCCTCCTCTACCGTCAGCCGGTTCCGGATGGTCTCGTAGGTTTTGCTGTTTAAGGTGGAATCCAGCACACCTTGCAATCGGAAATCCCGGTAGGTTTTCTAAAGCAGAGAGAGGCACGGAGAAGGAGGAGACAGCACAGAGGTCAGGGCTGACACCGGCTCCCCTGCGTCACTGCAAGAGTCAGCCCATGCCCCCACCCCTGGGGTTTGGGGCCACTGATGGAAGAGGCTGCAGGGCAGGCATCTCCACTGGCCACCGCTTTGCCGTGGCCCAGATCCCTTTAGAGTGCCTTGAGCAACAAATTATGGCTCTGACTCCAGCCCCACCTTTGCAGGGCCCGCAGGGTGGCCTCAAAGCAGGGATGGATGTACTGGGGGCTGCTCAGGGGAGCTTTGCATAAGGGAGGTTGGGGTCTAAAAAGACATCAAAGCAATAGCCAGGGGCTCTGCTCCAACTAACTCCCTGCTTCTGGATGCATTCCTCTGCCTGTAACGGCAGCTATTTTCCTTCATGCAGCAGAACTCTATCACCCATAACCACAGACGTGATTACACGTTCCTGGAATACTCTGTATTAAATAATCCTGCCTACAGTATTGGGATTAAATAAGCTAAGTCCAGGACACTGGGGAAAATTGTTGATGTATAAACATAAGCGCATGGCATACGTTTCTTAAATCTCCCTTTCTTCACCTAATTCTGAACCTGAGGTTGTATTTCCATGGTTAGCTACAGTTCCCCTCTTATTACAATTAATATATCTCATTTGAATTTATGTTTAAAAACTTCTCGACTCCACGACGTAAAACGGGCTTCAAAGTTCAATTAATTCTGCTCTGTGCTCTGTGTGGAAACATTTACTGTTCTGCTATTTCAGAAAGTCCTTGGATTTGTTGTAGCTACTTCTGAATGTACTATTGGTATAAATAAAGCACAAGGAAGAAAGCTTTCCTCAGCTAGCTGACAAGTAGAAATAATTTGTCTGTGCCTGTTGTTTTCAGTTATGAAAAGCACATTTAATACATTTCAGTTTTAATTTATTCATGCCTTCAATGTGTTCACTGCACACAAGACCATAAACATTACAAAATACTAGACCAAAAACCATTAGATAGAAACCTAAAATGATCAAAAATATATTTACCCCCTTCTGTGATCTTATTATTTCATGTAAACCACTGCGATTTCACACTGAAATAATTATCATTAGTCCAAGGCACGCACACACACACACACACACATATATACACATACACGTGCACTCAAGGAAAAAAATGTTCCTTTCAGGGTATGTTATCTCACCTTTGTGATCTCTTAAGAGTTGATTATATACACCCATTGTAAAAGAAACAACTTCAATTAACTATAAGAACAATCCTCATTTGCATTCTGATGATAAGCACAAGCTGTAGCTGGGCTTAAATGTTTCTAGTAAAACAATGTTAAAAACTTTTGGGTTTATTTAACCCATTTTAACACTGGAGTTCACTGGTGTTATCAATACCTGTGACAAACCATGTGTTTGTCCACAAAAAGGCTAATTTTTGGTGTGCTTATGGTACAAGTAGGTTCTAACAGCAATAAAGCTTTCCTTTTTCATGCAAGCGGTCACTTTGTTCTCATTTGCACACCTGTATTTTGCATCTCTGCATTTCAAGTTCCTCTTTATCCTTCACTACATGCCATACACACAAGTATCTTAATTTTTAAGAATCCTAATGAATGGCTTAATTTATTTGCTGGTGACAGTTTGCCCAAGAGAACATACATGCAATACACGCACGCTCCTTCCGACAGCAAGATGGGTATTGAAAACACATGGGACAATTACCTTTACTATCCTAATGAGAGTTTTCAGTTGGTAAATGTGAAGCTGCAGGTCCATGCGGTCTGTCAGCCAGGTGCAGACAACATTCATCGAGCTGGTGTACCATTGCTGCAAGAGAGACAGGACTTCTCCAGCGACCACGTTAAGGCAGCGTGCCGTGCCCTGAATAACCCAGCACCCAGTCAGCACCCACCTTGCCCACAGCCAGCCTGTTCATGGGATGTGACAGACTTAGAGGGGGAGACAGGCACCCTCTTTGACACAGAATTTCCATGCATAAGCTTTTGAATTTTACTAATAACAACAACAAACTTATTAGGAGAGGTAACAGCCACCAGCAACACCGCGAGGTTTTTGTAATCGGATTTTGCCATTGTTGGGACTTGCCAGCAGCGGTGTGCGTTGGGCCCAGTCCATTTTCTAACCCATCCTCCCCCCAGTGAGAGCACAGTCCTGCCTTTAAGTGTGTCAGACCCACACTCAAGCTACTTACCGTCTTGAAATTCAAACATAACCAGCCACGGGGCGAGTCTGGTTCCCTGATGGTAAGCGGAGGGGAGGCTCGTGCAGGGCAAGGTTGGGCTGCGGGTGAGGATGCTGGTGTCAGCACCTACAGACGCTGCCTGGGCTGCACGGGAAATGCTTTGGTTTCACCCTTACAATTATGAAAGATGGAAGAGCAGCAAACAAATGAGCTTGTTTCAAGCTGCTGAACTCACAGGGCCCCTCCAGGGGCTGAAATTTTGCTGCTTGTCTGTGAAAAAGGCTCGCAGCTACGTGGCAGCAGCCTGCCAGCCCTGCGGTGCAGGAAGTCTCCGGTGGGCTGTGGATCAGTGCCCTGCTCATGCAGGGCTGGCATTTTCTCGAGCAGTGAGCCCTCAAGAAAAGGAAAAGCAGGAGCTATAGCAGGGAGGGGATCACAAAAACTTCCCCACAGCACTCAGTATAACAGTTGATTACAAAGTGGTCTGCATACAGACACCCATTGCTGGTCTGTGTATGCACAGTCACACTCTTCCTTTGCAATCTCTCTTACACAAGCACATGCAGAGATCAAAACCTATACTCCAGATCAGCTGCAATTAATCTAGAACCAGTTAAAGATTAAAAAAAAAAAACAACAACAAAACAAAACAAACTACTGGACCAGTTTATAAAAATCCTGATTGAGTGCCAGCCAGGTTAGTCTGAGATGCAGCTCCCTCCCAACTCACCTAAGCCCTTCCATCAGCCTAAGGCAGGTATTATCACCTCCTTCACTGCACCTTCAGGTGGGGTCTCTTATGCAGAAATGTGCCCTCCTCCCTCCAGCTGCTGAAGCTGCCAGGGAACAGAGATGACTGAACGCAGCAAAACTGAGGCCAGTCACCTATTACCCTCTGTCCTTCCACACTGGCTGAGATGCCAGTGCCTGCCTGTGAGCAGAGCAGAGCATGGCACTGCTGGACGTGCGGCTCCAACACCGTAAGGTGTCACTGGCTTTGCTGGTAGCACCATGGCCACAGGCACCAATGTCCTGGGGCACCCACAAGCCAAGTGCACGAGCTGACACAAGGCTGACCAAAGCAAACAAGTTGAGTCCAAGTGAAACCAGCCCAGCATCACAAAAATGTGGGCTCAACACATTATTGAACCGCAAGGTAACGCACCCAGGAGTTGCCACCCAGAGCAGACAGTGGAGGTTAGTCATGCTGCACACAGAAGGGTTTTTCCCTCACCTCCATGAAGATGTTCCTGTACTTGTATTTCTACAACACCTCTTAATAAAATGGAGGAAATAATAAAGGGATGGAAGAGTCACCAAAGAAAAGGCATGTGGTGATCTCTTGATTGATGCTTACACCTTGTGCAACTTGTGGCAGAGATTACTGCTGGCCCTTCATCTCCTGGACAGAGACCTGGCAAGAGCTAAGAGCTCGAATGAAACTAATTGAGATAGGCAAGCAGGAGCTCGCTCCGTAACAGCAATCAAGCTCAGATACTGTTAGCTGTCACTTGAGATCCTGATGTCAGATTAGGGTTGAATTGTGAGTGAAGCACCCTGGTTAGCTGGTGTAGGCCTGACCAGCATAGTAGACACGAAGGTCTGGTGGGTCTTCATACCTTCCAGTCCCTCAGACTAGTCTGAGAGGTCAGAGCATCCCTGGATATCCCCAGAGAGCTGTCACTGGGGGATCTGCCTGGGTTGCCTTTAATACCGGGGGCCCACCTGGGCGAAACGAGAGAGAAACCGTTAATGTTTAAAATGTTACTTTTCTGCAATCGCCACACTTAAATGAATCACACTCTCGAGTGACATTAGCTGTGACCCAGGGCTGTGCTGGCACACAGATGCCCAGGTCACCCAAACGCCTCCTTCCACCACCTCTTTAAATCAGAACCCACAGAGGAACGAAGCGACCGTATGTTACATACACACGCCCTCTCCCTTCCACTGCGGCCTCTCGTCTTCCACAAAACGATCTGCCCGGTGTTCATGTCACCTTTAAATGAGATGAGAAGTCCCTAGCGGGGGCAGGTGTTGCCATTTCTGTTTGTCCTGCACCACACACACCTACCTGGCTGCATGGATCCAAACCAGAAATTATAACCTCTGCCTGGAGGTTATCAACAAGGGGACTTTGGTGCTGCAAGACCTTCAGATTAAGCAAAACGAAACATTTTGCTGTGTTTCTGGTAGGCACTCCAACACGCTGGATTCTAGGAAGATGCAAACTCCTCCTACGAATCTGAATTGTACCCCTCTCCTCTCGAGCACCGGCTGACAAGGGCTCAGCCAGGCGTACTGCTCGGCTGCGTGAAAGGAGCTCTCTTTCTCAAAGCTAAGCTACTCCAAAGACTTTCCGCTTTATGAGAAAAAGACAAAGTCTAATTCATTGATCTTGATACACAAAACCGTCACGTCACTTCATAGAGCACACACCAACTGCTGAATTTAAGCCCTGCATATTCATAAAAATAAGTTAGCCCATAAATTAAATGTTCCCTTTAGCTATCACTAGTGTTGATGTGCTATAAGACGCACAAGCCCTCTGATTCATGACTAACCTACCAAAGAAGATAACATTTGCATATGATTATATTATTAAAAAAACCCCAACAACAACAAAGCCAAATGCTCCAAAAAGGAAACGTGATCTTTTCAGACAAAAGAGCTCAGTGTGGTCCTGTTGGGACACTGGCCACCTTGCTCCCCCCGTGTGCAGGTCTGCTATTCCCTGAAGGGCAGTGGGGCACATGCTGGGGACAAGGGGTTCCTTGGGGGCTGCAGCACTGCAACTTGTCCCCATACACAAGGTGCAGAGAGCACAGCCCAAATACTGAACATGGGGCTGCAACACATTTCAGGCACATTTCTGGAGCCTCAGGGCCAGCTGAGCTGTGGCATGGGCACACCAAAGTAACCAGTATAAATATATTTTCTCAGAACTCCTCACACCTGGTTGTAAAGAATGAGCAGACCTCACTGATGCTCCCAGGTCCGTGGACCTCAACTCCACATATCTCCCTGCTGCACACACACGTTAGTGATGCTAGCTGGCATCCCTGTCTGCCACAGAGGACAATTTACACTCAGTCTGGGGGCACAGGCTGAGGAATGGCTGCAGAGGGTGCATCCCAATGGATCCACAGTGGATGCCACGCATCCCCCCGGACATCAGCAGGGAAGGGATGAGGCTCCCATGGAGGCATGCCACAGCCTCCACTGCCTGCTGCATGGCGTGAGCTGGCTAACAGCAGAGGAAATGCAAACAGCCGCCCTTTGGGTGCTGTCAGAGCCCACTAACAGCAAGTAAACACCATATTTGCACAACCAAGAAGTTAATCCCTCTTTCAGGTTAGTGTTCCTGTTCCCCTTCTGTCTCTCACAGTGACCCTCATTGCTGGGTGTTAGCCTGGGAGGATGAGGTGGGCCATGGGCTGGCTGGGATGCTCCTGGACAGGCATTAGAGGAGCTGGAGCACGCCAAGGGATGGGCTTCCACAGCTGCCCATCCAACACCCCAACCAGCTTGGGCAATAAGCTTCCTCATTCCCCCCACCACTTTTTTTTTTTTTTTTTTTAAAACAAAAGAATGATAAATAAGTTGCTGAAATAGCAACTTTGTCTCTGAATACATCAATTGCAAAAATCGATACGAATAAATCTGCAAGTAACACACTGAGTGTGGCACACTAATAAAAAAGCAAAAAAAAAAAGCAAAACACAAAAAAAAAGCCCTGTGCTGGGTTCCTGCGCTTTCCGGGAGGTGGTGTCATTACACATACCCAAGAACATCTGCAAACCCCCGTCTTCTTTGGTGTGAGCTGAATGGAAGCATGACCTCCTGTTCCTTGCCATGAACCTTGAGTTCACACTCATATTTTACATGTTACAGGAAGCCACAGCTCACCCCAGGGGTGCTGCAAACAGAATCTCGTAAGCCAGATGCAACACTGCTTCTTAAGGCACCTGAAGGAGCTGTATTCTTCATTCAAAAGCTTACATACTAGTAGCTTAAGGTCACTTCAGCTTTTGTAAAGAGTGGGACAAAACCAGGAATGCTTATAGGGCTGGGTTGTCAGCAGGGTAGCAGAGGGATTACAAGGAACCTGTGACTCTGCCTCTTTCTGCCTTTACTGGTAGTTTTTTTGTGTGTGAACAAGTGCCATACAACAGATTGAGGCTGGTATAAAGGCCTGGGACTGTGCAAGAGCACCCCGCTGAGCCTCAGCTGTGCTTGCAATTAGCAATAGGCATGAAATGATTATTGTTGTGGTGGCTGATGGCAATCTGAAGTGACAAGTTTTATGGGGGAAGTTGTAGTAGGGATGTTCAGCAAGTTTCTGCAAACCATTAATCGAAGGCTGCAGCGCAGTTTAGTCAAAGCTATTTTATGTCATTCCAAAGGTCTCACAAGGATGCTGAAAGAATATTTTTCTGCTCTCAGTGCCTTGGAACAGAGTTTTTCTAGGTCAGGGATTCTTTACTCCCCTATTTAGTGTCAAAAATACCCATTTGCCTCAAATTAGCAGAAAGCTTGTAGTTAAGGGCTGGAGATTAGGCATACAAATTTACTCAGCAGGTGACTGCTGGGTGGATTTGGGGGTTGAGAAGTCTTTAAAACT